TTCAGCCACTGCTGAAACTGACCAGCAGCTGAATCGGGGAAGTCGGGGGCAGAGCAGCTGGGGGGGCACCGGGGGGCGGGCGTAGTGGGTCGGTCCGCGGAGGGTTCTGAGTCCTGACGCCTGGGCCAAAGTAACTGGGGTGCTGCCGGGTTGGTCTCGTAGCGCCGCCCCTCGGCGCTGCGGGACCAACCCGGCAGCACCCCACCTGCTCTGTATATAGCAGCCCAATGTCTGTGACTCTGAAACGCTGGCTGTTCCCTCTGGGCGGCGCTCAGCTGACTTCTCTGTTGTGTAGCTTTCCTCTTCTTGGGGACAAACAGCGGAGAAGGGGCATAAGGTTGTATATCCATTGAGACTGTTGACATGGACCCCTGGTGTCAAATGCCATCGGGCAGACCACCTCATCTGATCACAAGCAGCTATCTAAAAGTCAGAGCTATTGCTGAGAGGAGATGTTACTGTCACACGTCTCACGTCATCTCACGCTGGCGTGGGCCCATGGAGACAGAGCTTGGGCACTGTTACTTCCTCCAGGGGTGACACTAAATTGGGGAAAAAACACTGTCACTGGGAAATGAGATTTTAGCTCTGGTGTGTTTTTATGGGGTGTCTTAAAATAACGGAGGCAAATCTGATTTCACTCTGAGCTCTGCTGTGCGCTGTACATTCTGCAGTGAACTCTCAGCTTGGCAGCTGAAGGAATACTGGATCCTTTCCACCTGGACGTGCAGGTGTTTAATGGGCTCCCGAATCAGGCTGCTGTCAGTCATGTTAATCAGATACAGGGGTTGCAGTGTAGTCCATTAGCTTTCAGCACCCCCACCATACAAATTGTTTCCATGTCCCTATACAGAGCAATGCGAGATGTGCTTTAGATGAGGGATGGGCACTAATTTTCACAGGCAGGCCACTTCATTAATTTTGGTATATGGTCACAAGCCAGCTCTACGCTCCCCCAAAGGGGTTGGACCTCCATCAGAAGGGGTAGGCCTGGGGGCTACACAGAGTAAGAGAGTGTATGAGTGTGATAGAGACACTGGGCCCTGGTTTACACTAGGAGTGATTTCAAAATAACTCCCCTTATATCGAAATAACAAGCAGCACGTCCACATTACCAAGCCCGTTATTTCAAAATAATAACTTCTGCTTTCCACAAGGAATAACGCTCATTTCGAAACAGCGGTAGTGTGGATGCTCTCCTGCTGCTATTTCAAAATGACTGCTCCCCAGAGTCATTGAAAGTAAGACTCCCCAAGGATTCCTGGGGCTCTAAATCACGATGGTGTGTCCATGTTAAGGGAGCCTGCCTTGGACTCATTTCCAGGCTTCCCTGTAATATGGATGCACGATTTCAAAATAGTTATTTTGGGAGTTATTTCAAAATAAGTTACAGGGCCGTCAATGCCTGCGTTTCACTGTGCCCTGCATACCCACCTGACCGGGTTGTGTTTCTTGATGAAATGTGTTCTTTTCACATCGGACCGTTAACAAGTGTCATCGCGCTTAGTTGGTGTAGGGATCGCATCGTTTCCCACAATGCTGTAATGCAGGCTGCTGTGAGTTGGGAGGCGGAAGCGATCATAATGCTACATTATACAACAGGTCTGGAGGGGAATTACTAGGGTAAGCGCTGACTCAGGAAAGGACTTAAGCGTTCACTCAAGTCCCAAGCCAATGCGACTTGTGTGCGCTTAAATCGGCACTGGGCAACCAAGACTAATGAGTGGGCTGTATGAGTGGCCTCCTTCATCTCAGTGGGCAGCAAGATTGAAATGCAGTGGTGGGCAGGCTGGGGCCTGCATCCCATTGGGGTTCCTCCTGCAGCCTGTGCACCCTGTTTCTGCCCCCTTTCTCCAGGCCTCTTGCACACTGGGGCACCGGCTCCCCATACTTACCTTCTCCTGCCCTTCCCTCTCAGCACTTTCAGAGCACCATCAATTGGCTGATTTCGTGCTCCGTCCTTGCTTCTCCCTAATGGTAAGTCTACACAGCAAAGTGGTTTCAGAATAATTATGCAAGCATCTACACAGCCATTCTGTTGTTCCGAAATAATTTTGAAATAACGGATGGCTTATTCTGAAATCTGTAAACCGCATTCTGCGAAGAATAACGCTTATTCTGAAATAGCTATTTCGAAATAGGCGTGTGCAAATTCTCCACTGCTGTTATTTTGAGATCACCCCTCACAGGGGCCATTCTAAGTTATTCCTCCCTATTGCCTGCTTGGGCTCTAATCAGAGATAGCACGTCTACATTAGGGAAGCCTGCCTCAGACTAATTTTGAGGCTTCTCTGAAGTGTAGATGTGCTATTTTGAAATAAGCTATTTCGGAATAACTATTCCAGAATAGCTTATTTTAAAAAGATGGGCAGTGTAGACGTAGCCTAAGTGTTTTCTGAACTGAGACTATATCGTTCCTTCAAAACTGGAACGAGAAAATAATTGGATGGAAGAAAAAGAAAGCAACAGGCCCGGTGAACTAAATTCAACCCAGGGCTAACGTAACTGCAATCAGTGGAGTTAAGTTAGGGGTCAGAGTGGCCTTGTTTCTTGGTGGTGGTTTCCTGCCTCCCTCAACATCAACCGAATGTTCAAAAACAAAGTCACCAGGCACTGTAAATAATGTCCTTGAAGTCAAGGAGGAAATTCTGCTAGTTCGTGCCAGCAGAGGTTCAATTCCTTTGCACTGAACCTAGCTCCCAGTTTAATTAGTCTCTGCTGTGCCCTTGTCAGACTACTGTGTTCTGCAGAACGTTCATCATTCCTGGCTTTGTCGCATTATTGGCTCCCATCATGCTTTGTACTAAATAAATCATGCACTTCATAATTTTTGTAAGTAAAAAAAAGGGGGGGGGGCATTTGTATTTATAATTACACCGTGACTTATGTAAAAGCCAGTGCAGCAGGTAAAGGCTCAAAAATTCGCCCATTATTTAGGGGGTAGTTTTGAGTCAAGTATTCCTATCTCCTTGAGTTCTAAATCAGCATGAGTATGTCCACACAACCCAGGTCGACAAACTTAGGGCTGGCAGATCTCGTCCTCGTGTTCGAAAAATAGCGGGGTAGCAGAACTTGGACATTGCCGGGCCATCTGGGGCTCTGAAGGCTCAGGAAGCAGGCATGAGCATCAGAGCCTAAGCTACACATTCAAAGTGGTGTCTTTTTAGAACACTGAGGCAAATCCTGCTAGCTCAGTCCTGGGTTGACTTGGACTGGGAGGCTTGCTGCCATGGGCTGTGTAGATATAGCCTATATCAGAGGTGGAGAACCTAAGGCCTGGATCTGGCCCCTGGCTTGCCTGAATCTGGCCCCCCAAGGTACATGGGGCCCCCCAGCACTGGGGAGCCTGCATTGGTGTCCCCTCCCCAACTGCCCCCTCAGGGCTGAAGCACGAGTGCTGGCTCCCACTGTGGGGGGAGGAGCCCTGAGCCTTGTGGGCTGGAGTCAGGCAAGCCAGAGCTGGATCTGCCCCACGGGCTCTGCCTGATAGGGGGAGAGAGTGGCTCTGTGCACTGCCACTCCTTCTCTTACCCCCTGGCTGGTGTAGTAAAGCACTGCCTGGAGGCTTTTTCCCCACAAAATCTACTAGCCAGGGCTAGGGTTGCCAGGTGTCCGGTATTCTACCAGACAGTCCGGTATTTGCACTCTTTGTCTGGTAAAAAAAAAAAAAATCGGAGAATACCGGACACGTGCAATGTCCAGTATTCTCTGATTTTCCGGCTGCGCACCAGACAGAAGCCTGGTGTGGGCGGGGGAGCGGCTAGAAGGCGGGGCCACAATCAGTGTTAGGAGCCTGTGATTGTGTGCCCCCCCCCCCCCCCCCAGCCCCTCCCCCCACCCCCACCAGGCTTCTGATGCGACCAGAGGCTCCCAGCTGGGACTCCCAGGCTGGGAGGCAGGGCCGTGATGGGCGCTCTTGGCGCATCAGAAGCCTAGCGGGGGCAGGGAGAGTTGCTGGGAGTCCCAGCCATTCTCCCCGCCCCCCTCGCTTCTGACACGCCCAGAGCAGCGACCGTGGCCCTGCCTCCCGTGGCCCCCGCCAGGCTTCTGTGCAATCCCAGGCTCCTAGCGGGGCCGCAATTGCTGGACTGGGCCCGTCAGAAGGGACGGGGAGAATGGCTGGGAGAGGCGGTGGTACTTATCCTGGGTGTGGTTTTTTTTTTGCTTGACCAAAATAATGCATGTCTGGCATTTTTGGGGGGACCATCTGGCAACCGCAGCCAGGGCCCCTCTAGGCTCTGGTGTTTAAGGAGAATGTGGTGGAGTGTGTTTCTGCTCTCAGTTGGGGGCCATGTCAGTAGGGGGTTTGGCGGCCCCTGACTGATTTCTCTGGGGGTCAGTGGCCCAAAAAAGGTTCCTGCCCTACATCGTTAGGAGGGAAAACATGGTGCTACAGGGAACGGCACTGACAATGCTTCCTGGGATTTCTCTCAGGTCAACACTGAGCCATTGCCCTCATACCATCATGGTATTTCGAGAAAAAATTCTAGTGAGAATATCTTTTTTGATTGGCTCCTTCCCAGTTTTTATGGGAAATTAGGCCCTGATCCTAAGAGCTTTGAATTCCCACTGACTTTGGGTCCTCTTCCTGGCCTCCATTTATAATGCTGCAGAGAAATAATAGCCATAATGTATTTAGAGTGACGTCAATGTGCTAGGCACTGAATAATGCACATACGGAGATACAATCCCTTTCCCGAGGAGCTTATGTTCTAACTTACAGTTCAAAACCAGACCAAAATGTTTACTTCGACAGGGTTTCCCGCCGCTCCAAGACAGAGCTTGCATTTGGAATAGTATGGCTTATTATGGAGCAGAGCTATATGGAGAAAAGAGAACAGTTGCTCCCATTTTTTTAAATTCTCTGCTCTCCCGATTCTCCCCGGCCCTCTGCCCTTTTTTAATTTCCAACCAGCTCTTCTGCTGTGTCTGAAAATGATCATTATGGAGTCTGGAGCCCTCTTGCCCAATTACATTGTTCTCCTGTAATTTGTGCCTAGATTCTTCTGCTTGAGTCTGCAGAGCGCACACCCCCTTCCGAGAACGACCTGCCAATCGCCAGGACAACAGCCTCGTGGTATGACGACTTGCTCCCAGACGCGATTCCCCTGGTAAATCCTGGGACGGTGCTGAGGAAGCCGGTGGGACCAGCTGGTAAGCACACAACTAGGCATTTGCTCCAACTGTGTTCTGTCGTGGTGGCTTTCCAGTACAAATCCAAATGGCAGTTCTGTCAGTAGCTAATGGGTGAAGTGTATCGGTGCAACTTGGTCTTAGAAGCTGCCTTGGGTGTCAGCACATCCTTGAACGGGAGTGAAATAGTCCCTGTTCTTTCCCGCGACGGGGCACAGAGTGGGTGCTCTAGGAGAAGGTTTTCAGATGAGCAGATGTGAGCTGTTTTTGAGCCCCTTCTGGGTACAAATCTGGTCACTTGTGCCTCTCGATACCTTAGGACGGTTTCAGGCTGGGGGGTTATTGCCCCAGGCCTTCCGATTTTGCATCTGCAGTCACCTTTGCACCTGCAGCAAAGCACTGAGCACTTCAGGCTGAAAATGTTCATGACAAAGAGAAAACAAACCCCACAGAGAGGCACTTTCATAATGATTAGAGCCAGGGATATTTGGATTTGCGCTTCCCTAAAGTGGGAGGCTATTTAAATCGGGGAGCTTGATTCGACCTGTGATAGCTAGAAGGACCATTTGTTAATCGTGTCTTCCCCAGAGCTCTGGGTGAGTGAGGGATTTGCTTCAAGTCTCTCGCTGCTAAATTGTGAGCACAGATCTCGTGTTCCCATGCCCATAGGGTATAAGTGGGTGCTCAGCTACCTGCCACTCGAGTCCTGGGGTGGGGAACATCAGGCCTGGGGGCTGGATGCAGCCTCCGATTTGCCTGGATCCAGCCCCAGAAGCTCAGCCCACCAACCCCCAGCATGGGGGCACCCACACTGGTCCTCCAGCCCCCCTGCTGCTCCCTGGAGCACACAAAATCTAGTAGCCTGCGCCTGAGGGGAATGTGGAAAGTGTCTTTTTCCTTAGTCAGGGGCCACACCATTGAGGGTTTATTTTAATGTGGGTCAGCAGCCCCCGACCCAAAAAGGCTCCCCACTTCCGCTGTAGTAGAACGTGGGGTTTGCATGCATAGTTTCTGCAGTTTGCCTGTGCAGCACGGCTCTGCAGACTGGATTTTTCCTTCTCTCTGAAAGAAGAGCTCTAGGAGTGACCTGTGCACTGTTTAATGTACAAATGAAACGAAATCCTGTACTGTTTCCTGGAACTTTGCAGGGTGTCTTCTTTAAACCTTCCCCCCAACCCCAAGCCATCCTTCCAGTCAAAGGAAGCTGGACATGACTTCCTCAAAGCCCATTATTACCGAGTTTGCATTGGTGAGGATGCTGTTATATGATGTGAGAAGCTTCTGGTTTCTCTTCTCACGCTCGTCAGCCTCCCCATGGTAGAGCAGCTGCATCCCATGAAGAAAAAGGCCAACCTCGGGGAAAAAAGAAAAACATTCCACCCACCCTTTGCCTACCTCAGTGGTCTATTCTTAAATGGTATGTTTGTGTTGGCCCAAGTAGTCACTAAGGGTACGTCTAGACTACAGGCTTTTGTTGACAGTAGCTGTCGACAAAGAGCGTCTAGACTACAGCCAGTTCTGTCAACAGAACAAGTCGCTTTTTCGACAGAGTCTAGATGCTCTCTTTGGAAAAAGCAGAGTGTGGATGCAGTAGCACCTTTTGTTGACAGAACTGTGTCGACAAAAGGCATTATTTCTCGTAGAATGAGGTTTTCCACCATCAACAAAACTGCCGCGTTCTGTCGACAGAACTCGGCGGTAGTGTAGACGCAGGTATAGTTTTGTCGACATAAGTCCACTTTTGTCGACAAAACCCCTGTAGTCTAGACACACCCTAAGAGCTGACTCCTAGTTCTACTGAAGCGAAATTCCCTTTGGGCGCAGTAGGCAGTCCTGTGTCCTGTAATGAAAATATTTACATCTCCTCGATGGGGATTTTCACCATGAAACATTCGTGAAAAATCTAGAGACCCCTGGGGTTCACTGGAAAATACATTTAGTGCTCATCTCTGGAATTCAGACTGTAGCATTTCTCCGACAGTGAGCCCTGGGATGGCAAGCTCTTGATGTGTGAACAGGAAAGATTTCCTGTTAGTAATAAATCAGTGGCACAATGCAATAGATATATATATTTTAAAATTGACCATAAACAGATTTGGGCTGTTTTATGAGCCCTCTTGTGGTGTGGAAAAAAAAAAGAGAGAGAGAGAAATCTCCAGCTTAGTCATTTTGGCAAGACAGATCTCCTAGTGTTGCGTTTTTTAACCTTGGCACGCTCACTTTCTGCTTCCAAGGCCCTGTCTGATCATTGCTTTCCCGGCTCTCGCGTTCTTTATCCTCCATGGGGCCTAACATTGGGTTTTGTTTTGCCTTTATTTTGGGTCACAGCGGTTCATTGCAGCAGCCATTCCTGACTGCAGCACAGGCCCCAGCCCCCCAAGCAGGCCCCAGCCGCCGGAGCAGGCCCTGGGCCCCTTCCTCACGCAGGCCCCCATCACGTGAGATTAGGCCCCGCCCTACCCCTTCCCTCCCCTCCGCCCCATGGCCAACGCAGACCAGATGTAATCCTTGTTTATAATTTGATGGGTTGCCACAACATGGATTGGAGGCTTTGTAACACTATGTCCTGCGGAACAGTGACTGAATTAAGTAGCGTTTCTCCATACATCCAGGAGATGCTCATTCCTTCTTCCCCACGTCATTCCTTTGTGCTATTGTGGTCTCTCTACACCTGCTCTTCACCTCACCCATATTGGTCCAGGAACAAGACTGAAGACTCATTAAAATTCTGTTACTGCTCTTCAGGGGACTATGGCCCATGATATTTTACCTTGCACTCATAGTGCTAGGAAATTACCTCCTGCTTGAGCCATTGCCATGGTCATTCCAAGGATGGTTCCCTTTAGAAGTGGGTTTGGGAACTTTGAATAGTTCAGAATGGCCTTGTAGCTTTGGCTGGCTGAGGCCTTCCCTAGCTAAGATCCAGCAAAACTTGCTACTGTTTACTAGGGTTGATATTTTTTCCCTGACAGGAGGTAGAATAGACAGTCATTTAAAAGCAATTAGAATTGTTGAGACAGCTGCATCTCTGACCTTTCTGACCAGCTAGTTTATCAACAGGGATGTTGATAAAAAAAACTACCGAGACTTGAGCCAGTGGGTAATGGGAGACGTATTTTTCATATGCATTTCCTCTCCACTCTCCTGCTCTTTTAATTAGAGTCTAAGAGCCCACACGGCAAATGGCACAGAGAAAGCGGTTGGTGCATCTATTTCTCCTCTGGCAAAGTGCACAAAGTCCATTTTTGAATTGATGGTGCCTCCAGGAATGCAGGACAGCCTGGATCCTGAGTGTCAGATGAAAGAGCAATCCTCTAATTTAGGGCAGGGGCGGAGGAGGCGGGGGAGAGGGAAGGTTGGTGTAGAAAATTTGGGTTTTACCTCTCTTGCTGGCATGGCATTAACTCCCCAGGGTGGACATTCATATATCCTCTTGGCCAAATGCCGGGGAATTTAGACTACTGGCTTCACAAAGAGGACTCATATTGCTGCTCCAGATGAATAGTGGGATGAAAAGGGTTGTTGCCTGCAGGGCTGCAGCTTTCAGATGTGTGTCTGTGTGAAAAAATCCACACCTTACTATTATTATTGTTTGCCTGTACAGCTGGTCCCCGAGTTACGAACGCACAATCCACGCTTACAAACAGCGTGGCCGCATTTAAAAGCATGCATTCCGACATACGAACACATCGAGTTACGACCAGGTGTTTGGAACATAACCCGTTCATAATTTGGAGACTACCTATATTACAAATAGCTAGATACCTCGAAAGCTCGACTGAGATCAGGGCACTGTAAAAATACCCATTTGGGAAATTCCCTGCTCTGAAGAGCTTCCGATCGGAATAGACAAGCCAGATAAAGGAAGGAGGCACACAGAATTGGCCGAGGGTCACCTGGAAAAGCCACAAGCAAAACCCAGGTCTTCTGAGTCTGGTGCCCTCCTCTTCAAGTCTCCACATTCCCCTCCCTTTCCTCTCCTGTCTCTGGCTCTTGCCATTTTCAAGGACATATCGATTGAGCCAGAACCTCAGATGGTGTAAATGAGCTTTTTTGGCTTCCCCGACCGAGAGATTTCACTGGAGCTGTGTTGACTTATATGAGTTAAGTACCTGACCTACCAGTTTTGTTTTCTCTTTTCTTGTATCATTTTGTTTTGTTTTGTATTTGTCTCTCTTGAGCTGGTAACACCGTTTGTCACCAGCACGAGCACTTGTCTGACACATTACTCAGTGTTGCAGCTCCTGGTCCTTCCGTTAGCGCTTTCTGCCTGCAGGGAAATAAATGCCATCTTCTTTAAATGTCTTCTGTAACAGCACGATGGAGGCTGTTGGCAGCAAATGATTGCTCTTGGTCTGCAGCAGTTAACAGGATTGAATTATAATGGTTGGACTTGATGATTGAGGCCATTTTTATAGGACCCAGGGAATATTTTGACCTATGCTCAGCTGCTCAGTGTGTTGAGCCTGAAAACAGTTGATTTTTTTTTTGTATTCCACCCTCTGTGAGGGAATAAAAGCCTTCCCCCACCCCTGAGCCTGATCAGCGAGGCACATGGAGAGGGCAGCCAGGCTCTTTGAGCAGCCTGGGGCTGTTGGTATGCTTGGAAGCCTGCCTCAGAGTCCTGCAGGACTGCTGGTTGGGAGCCTCCTTGGCAACCGTCTCCCAGCCAGAGCCTGCTCCCCTACTCCCTGCCCCAGGTCACCACCCAAACCCTCTGCACCCCCTGCCCCAGGTCACAACTCTCTTCCAGATCCTGCACCCCTCCTACGTCCCTCCCCCGGTCCATAGTCTTCTCCTGCACCCATACGCCTTCCCTGACTCTGCACCCCAACCCCCAGCCCCTTCACCCAAACTCCCTCTCAGACCCCACATCCTCCTGCAACCCAAGTCCCCTACCCCAAGCTCCCTTCTTCACCCAATCTTCATCCCAGACCCCGCACCACCTCCATAGAAAAGTGAGGACCTTGACCACTTTACAAAATCTTGATGTGTGTCCCCCCCTCCCATCAAAAATCATTGCCTAACTCAAGTCTAGTGACTGCTTATAGTGCCCGGTGTAGTTGGTCTTTTTTTTACACAATGGCCTGAGCTTGCCAAATGCAACATAAGAGCGGCCAGACTGGGACAGACCAAAGGTCCATCTAGCCCCGGAGCCTGTCTGCCAACAGGGGCAGGCTCCTAGGGAGGAGACTTTGCTACGGCAGAACAGAGAGGAGGCGGCAGCCCACATCGGTTAATTGGTTAATCGATTCAACTCTGACATCCCCAATAGCGGCAGCTGTCCGCAGTACGGAATTTGGGAGGGCAGCAGTCCTGCTCGGTGTGCTTGGTGGGCACTCGTTGCGTCACCAACATTTTCCCCTGCACCAACCAAACAGCGGTACCTTTCCAAACCTCGATGGGTTGCTCTCCGATGCGTGAGCACTTATACGAACGACAGTGTTTTAAAGTGCCAACTCATTTCCTGTTTGAATGTTTGCAGGGGTGCCAGGACAGATCGGGCTCCCAGGTCCTATTGGACCAGTTGGACTTCCAGGACCTCCAGGACCAAAAGGAGACCGGGGAGACACTGGCGAGAGGGGGCCAGCCGGGCCACCAGGTGAGTCTCGGAGAGGAACCTTGGCTGGGAAGTTCATCTTCTTCAAGACAAACTTCTCCGTGGCACGGAATAGGTAGTTCGAATTACACGAGGAGTAACGGTAGTTCGAATTAGAAAGCCTAATTCGAACTACCTACTCCGTGCCACGTGTAGCCGCGGGCACGGAGTCGGCACTAACGGGGATTTAAAAATGGCGGTGCCCGGCAAGATGCAAATGAAGCCCGGGATATTTAAATCCCGGGCTTCATTTGCAACTTCAAATGACTACATTAACCACCCTAGTTCGAACTAGGGTGGTAGTGTAGACATACCCAGAGGTAGCAGTGCGGGGAGCAGAGAGGGGGCAGGCAGAGCTGGTGCTTGCAGGGAGCTGGCTTAAAAGCCGCTCCCTGCATACAAGCTCCCAGGAAGCCGCCTGCCCCTTCCCCATGTTTAACTGCTGAAATTTTCAGCGGTTCCACATTTACTCGAATAAACACATTTTAGCATTCCTAGTCGTTAAGATCTCTGTTTTGCAGATGCAGACGCTGAAACAAAGTAGGCTTAGTCCCAGATCATCCATGTTTAGAACAGTGAGGTGAATTTCAGAGGCAATAGAATCATAGAATATTAGAACTGGAAGGGACCTCGAGAGGCGATGAATGCCTACACCTCAAACAAAAGTTAAAAATCCTCTGCGTTTTGCTAATAGGGACAGGGTGGGACTGGACTGCTGTTATTGTCAGGTGCCTAACAAAAAGCCAGATAAAAGGGCTTTTATTCCACTTAACAGATGTTCTGAGACAAAATTACTGCGTTTTATTCTCCCTACACATTTCCCACCAATTCTGTTGGTAATGACTATTTTTTCCATACAGAAATTTTCACTCTCTCCCAAAGAAGGTCTTCTATTCTGCGCATTTCTGCAGTCTCTTGCCAACTTTGTTTAAAAAGAATCACTCTTCTAAAACTAACAACAAGGGGTATTCAGTGAGGTTTTTTTTGTCCAAACAATATTATTATTATTATTTTTTTGCCACAAGGGTCTGCTTTCCAAAGAAAACGTCTATTTTCATCAAAGAACCAAACACTCAAACTGGAGCATTTTGACTAAAAACCAAAATGTTTTAGTATTCAAATTCCTGTGAAAAATAAAAAAATTCCCTTACTTTTTTGGGGATTAATAATTGCCTCTTTTTACCTCTGACCTGGCAGGAATCAATGTGTGGTGGGCTCAGCCAAAGGCTGGGAGCCAGGCAGTGTTAAACTGGGATGCCAGGTCTGCCTTTGGTTTGCTTTTGTGGCTTTGGGAAAATCATTGAATCCTTCTGTGCCTCAGTTTCCCCATCTATAAAAGGGAGGGAATAAAGATGCGGACTTAGCTGCTTCCCTTAGGTGCCATTGACATTCCTTGAAGGCTTGTGTGGTGCTTTGACAATGGAAGCTTTGATGTACTCCTATGAATATTAACCCTTTTTCTGGGTAGCTTCCACTGCTCCAATCCACATTGAATAGCAGCGACTTCTAGAGTCATTGTAAATGGCGTGTTTCATCTCTGATCAGCCACAGAAGCCCAGAACATTCCATCCTCCAAGAGCAGAGACTTTTCCTTTTAGTGGGCTTTTTGCCAGTGTAAGCACTGTGACAGGCCGCAGAATTCACCCTATGGCCCGAGCCCTGTACCTGCGTCCAACAGGGGGCATGCCCATTAAAGCCCTTTTGACAGCTCCAGGTATTAGGCACTTCCATGTTTAGACCTAGATGAAATTCTTTCCAGCAGCTCGGTGGGCTTTGCACTGCCTTTTTACCTCAACGCATCTTCTGGCGCTGCTCCGACTTAGAGAAATCACCTCTTCTATTTCTTTGCAGGACTTCTGGGACCTCAAGGACCAAGAGGACTTCCAGGAGAAACTGGGATCCCTGGCCCTCCAGGACCTCCAGGGCCACCTGCATCCCCAGGCCTGCCGCTCACTGTCCAACAAGGGGTTCTCTACTCGCTGCAGCCCACGGCTGAAAAAGAAAGTAGGTTTCCTTCAGTGTCTACATCTTTCTCGGTGCATCTGTGTGTGACAGGCTGATAGCCTGTGCAGCAGAAACCAATGTTTTTAACCACCTCCTCGCCCAGTGCTACCCTGTCTCAGCTTTCTCTGGACGAGACCAGAGGACCCGCAAGTCTTGTGGATCCTGTTGGGTATTTCAGCAGAGGAACAAGATTTGGGGGGTGGAAAGACATCAAATGGTGCCATCTCTTCCTAGTGATGAACCTGAACTCTTCATTCTGGTTGTTACCTGGCTGTGGATTAAGAAGAGTAGTTGGGTACTGAGTTTACAGTAGGGATGTGAAGGACTCGTCAACTAGTCCCTCCCCCACCCACCCCTCCCTCAGAGCCAGGCACCCATAGCCCACATAGAATCATAGAATCATAGAACTGGAAGAGACCGTAGGAGGTCATCAAGTCCAGGCATCTCCCAGTCTAACCCAATGCCTGGGTCACATCAGAACCGCTGCCGCAGCCATGTGCTTCTCCCTCCAGGCGCGCTGAGCGGCCGTGAGCAGTCTGGGCGCATGACTCTGAATGAGCCATAACCCTAAGAGCGGCATTTCTTTGAGCAAAGAGCCACATGCGGCTCAAGAGTTGTGGGTTGGCCACGCCTGCTGTAGGCAGAAGGGCGTGGATTTTGGTGCTTTAAGTGCTTTTGAAAATATTGTACTTGTTTGTTTATTGATATGTTTAAGTGCAAGGAAAGGCATTCTGGAAAAGATGCTTTTCAGACACCAGTCTATGTTCTGTCAGGTTTGGGCTTGCTCTGGTTGTTTCTGACAGGGAGTTCTGCTGGTAGGGTCCGGGAGTGATACTTTGAAACTCAGCACTGTCTTCCCTTTGGCTAGTAAAGTGCTGCAAAATGAATGCCCTACCCGCCCTACCCATCCTACCCCTATAAAGCGCCAGCTGTTCTACTTACCTCCGGTTTCAAAGTCAAACTATTGTAATTACAGCCACCGGATTAGTAAGTGTCTTTGTGTCTGATAATTATCTATGGATTTCCTTCCCCTTCACCTTCCTCCCACTTCACAATCCTTTTCCTGAAGGAGAGTGGATGCATTTTTAATTTGTTAAAGATTTTAGCAGCATTGCTCTGTCTTAAATTATTTAGAGTGTTATGGGCAGGATTAAATTAATTGTGGTTCAGTACCCAAGCTCTTAGCAAAATGTAGAATGCGCTATGTTTTTTATATTTGATATTTGATATCAGTAGGAGATTTTGCATTAAATTCACCCTTGGCTTCATATGGGTTCATACCAATTATTGTGTTTTGATGCAGTAGTAACATTTGATATTTCCATAGGCCCTTTCATCCTGATGAATCCCAAAGCACTTTGAAAATGACATAGATATAAAACCAATGGTATGCAGTAAGGATATTAAGTATCAGGTAATTGACTAATCGACTATTTGATTAGTCGATTGGGCGCCTCTGCCTTCGAAGGTGAAAGCGCCACATGGAGCCAAGGGTCAGCTGGGGACTGCTAACTCCAGGCTCCGTGCAGTGCTGCTGCTTTGAAATGCCGCGAGGAGCCTGATGCCGAGTTCCTCGCGGCATTTCAAAGTGACAGTGCCACGTGGAGCCCGGGGGTCTGTCCCCAGGCTTCAAGCGGCTCTTCCCCACCTCCCCATTGCTGCCTCTATCTGATAGAGGCAGTAAGGAGGGGAAGCAACTAGTCAACTATCCTGTCGACTATCCATTAAGCATTTGCTTATCGGATAGTCAACTAGTCCTTTACATCCTTAGTACGCTGTCTGTTCTTGGAGGGCAGCAATCAGCCAGCATGGAAGAGTGGGAGGGAAAGAATACTTCTTGACAAACGTATACTTTTGTGAAAAGTGCCATGTTCTCCTTAGTAGCTATGAAACACAGCCAGAACCCTAATCTTCGGAAAAGACCTGAGCCAATTTCTCTGTCCTTGAAAGAATGATTTTACCCAGTCATTCCTGGAAATAATGTTTCAAAACTCCAATGGGAGTACTGCCATTGACTTGAAATGGGCACACGATCAGGCTTGGATGCTTGGCTCATTGAGTAATCTCCCCCTGAATTATAGTCTATGCCATTTTACTTTTTTTTAAAAGCTATAAAATCCCTGGTATTTCCTACTTTATAGGAGCACTTTGATCAGGCAAAACAATGGCAGTTTTTAAAATCAAGATTTGAAGTTTTTCTAAAAAAATTCACACAAGTTCAACTAGGAATTTTTGCTGGCTTTTCTTATATAGGAGGTCAGACCCTGTGATCAGAGTGGTCTCTTTTGACTTTGAATCTGTGAATGTGTTACTGGTGATTGATTCATGAGTGTAGTCTGTAGCCCAAAACTAAATTCTTGGAGAACTGATTGGAAGAAGTCTTGGGGAACCCCAACATACTCATGATACAAGCATTTGAATAGAATAGATTGTGCAGACACAGTAAGTTTTGAAGTTTCTCACAATATCAGAATTCCCCCTCCTCAGCCCTATAATCCTCAAATGGAAAATTGTTACTTACTGTCCCTTTTACGTAGGTGAGTATATTTCATGAGAAATTTTGCATCCTCTATTTTTCAGCCAGATGGAATCTTTGAGACTGGAAATTGAGTGAAATTGGCAAACATCATGTGAGGTCCCTGGAACACAGTGGGGGAGAGCTGAGAGCCATTGAACCAAAATGTAAACCTTCTATATGATGGAAATCACTTCAAGCCAGTCGGTGAAACAGCACCCCAAGATCCAGCATCTAGTTGCATTTGGCTGATTCCTGTTAGATTCGTGTTCAGGATATGCATGGGTCTAGTTTCCACAAATGTTCAGTAGCAGTGAAATCTCTCCAGCGTATGGCCAATCAAAATTTCATCCCAGTAGTGAAGTTCTAGCTTTACTGATGTCAATAAGAGATGGAATCTGGGCTAGATTTGTAGGTACAGAGAGTGGTGCTAAGCCTTTTGGAGTTTTGGTCTATATCTGATCTCGACCCGTCTGTCTAGTTCAGATGTTTGTAGAGTCTCCATCATTGTATCTAAGTGCAAAACTCTAAACAATTCTTGCTTGCTGCTACTACTTGTGATTAATACAAGGTTCACTAACAGGATAGGTCTCTAATATGGGATGATGGGTTTACTTAAATCCACATCCTATATAATCTGCCCTTTCACTCTTGTTGGCTTATTTGTGCTACTGCTGATTGGTGGAAAACTAATTCTCTACTGCCAATAAAAGCCAGTTCTGTAAATATCAGATAGGATTTTTTTTTTAAATGGAGCACATCTGAAAACCATAACCATAAGATCCCATGTGCTGACAGCAGAGGGAAGTATACCCCAGCTAATGAGCATGTGCATCTACGTTATGTGAGAAAGCCGAATCCGATTATTATGAACCAGTGTTCGGGTTCTGCCTGATCATGGTTAATGTCAGTGGTTTATTAATCACAAGTTCCTGTTGGCAGCTTTTATCAACAAGCAGAAGCCAAAAAGGGGGGGGGAGACAAACAATTTCTCACAGTTTTACTGTGCTGCGGTAGAGAAATTGGTCCCAGTTGTGTCTCTCCAGATCAGGTAGCAGGCAGGAATTAAGACAGGATTACTTCATTTCCATCCTGTCTCAACAAATCAAGCCTTTAATGGGGAGAATTTATCCTTAACACAGAATCATTAGAGATGGGCCAGATTCTAAACCAGCGGTGGGCAAAAGGGCTTCTGTGGTCTGGTCCCCTGCCCCCAGGTCAATCAGGGTCTGGGCGTGGTGGGAAGCACACACAGTTTCCACCCTGCTCCCATCCTGCAAGGAGCGCACGGGGCTTAGAAGTGCCACACGCTCCTGGCAGAGCAGGAAGAGACTTCGCGTGCTCCCTCACCCCCAAGCCATGGGGGGGGGGGAGACTTCAAGTGTTCCCCCACTGCCAGTCCAATCATGGTCTCTGAGTGGAGAAGCAGGGAAGTATCCTGACCCACCCCTTCCTTTGAGGCACCATCCCTTCCTGAAGTGGTCCCTGGTAAAAAATTATTCCCCACCCCTGTTCTTAACAATATCTGGTATTGCCCTGTAGGCAAATGGGCAATTTATGCACTTGGGAGATAAGAGGGGCGGGCTTTTGGTGCATTATCTCAGAGCTCATCGAAAGGGCTATGAACTGAAATGAGCTTTTTCTGGAGAAAGGAAGGAGGAAATGATTGCTTGGTCTGATCACGGGGTGGTACACTCTCTCATATCTGTGGTAAAGTCCTTTAAGAAATAAACCTCCTCGTGGTACAGAGCAAGTTAGAGACTTGCCTGAGGTCAACTACCAAGACAGTGGCAGGAGAAGGAACAAAACTCAGATCGCCTGCATCCCCATTCAGTGCTTGATCTGCTGGCCTTTCTGAAAAGAGTGAAGAGAGGGAGAGAATGGAGCAGGAGGAATAAGAGAGAGATGCGGGCCAGGGAACGGAAAAGTGAGGGGAGAGGAATGCTGGCATTTCTAAAACTGTTTCCGTGGCTGTGAAAGTTGTACAGTTCCATGTCCCTGGAATGCCCATGGCTGCTAGACAGGTCAACAAGCGTCACTGTCTCTCAGGATAGATTTCAGCGCTTAGTCAACCTGTGGAACTCTTTGCCAGAGGATGAGGTGAAGGCTAGGACTTTAACAGGGTTCAAAAAAGAACTAGATAGATTCATGGAGGTTAGGTCGTTCAATGGTTATTAGCCAGAATGGGTAGGAATGGTGTCCCTAGCCACTGTTTTACTGGAAGTGGATGACAGGAGAGATCACGTGAGGATTACCTGTTGTGTTCCCTCCCTCTGGTGCATCTGGTATTGGCCACTGTTGGTAGGCTGGATGGTCCATGGTTTGACCCAGTATAGTTGTTCTTACGTTCTTATTTTAAGTTTCCCCTTTTCAACATGCTCAAATTCCTAGCTCTGCCCATATCAAGCAGGTTGCCTTTTCAGAGCACTTTTTGGGCTAGCTAGCAGTTTGGAAAGGCCTGAGGCAAGGGAGGTTTAAATGGGAAAGATCCTATAGCCAAGAGCAGAATTTGTTTTGTTATACTGACAATTTGTCTTGTTATGCATAGCGTTGCCAGGTGTCCGGTATTCACCCAGACAGTCCAGTATTTTCGTCTCTTGTCCAGTAAAAAAATTCAGAGAACACCGGACAACTAAAATGTCTGGTATTTTCTGATTTTTTCCCCCTACCAGGAGGTGAAAATGCCAAGCACTTGGCAACCCTACAAACATTCAGCACCCGGCCTCCCCTCTCCACCCCTCACCTCCCTGGCTCCCAACAACCCCAGCCCCCCAACCCCAGCCCCCATGCTTACCTGGTTCCCCAAGGCTTCCAGCACAAAATGGCTGCCGGCCAAAAGACCTAGGGGAAGCAATGCTTCCCCTGCGTCGTAGTGCTCAACCGTTCCCCTGTTCCTATCGCTGCACTCACTCTTAAAGGGGACATGCTGTTTTAATGCTGGGGTGGGTTTTTTTTTTTAATTAATAAGTCCTTGGAGTCCTTTTATTTTTTTTTGCTCAACAACTTTGGTCTCCCCCTCTTTTTCCCCCCTTCAACAGAATTTTTTCCCGGTGTTTTTTTTTGGGGGGGGGGGGGGGTTGTTCGGTTTTTTTGTTTCAACCATCTGGCAATGTTACTGGTAGTGCCGCAGGCGAGCCACACAGAAGGGAAAGGATCCTCCACTACTTTGTGGTTGAATGACATTTCCCCCATAGAAGGTATAAAAGCAGGGACGAGGGCCTGCAACATAAGCCCATGTATGGTGTGAGGCCTGCGGCCTGAATTAAAGTAGCAGAAAAGCTTCATTGATATGAAACAAAGAAGCAAAGTCAGGCTCTACCTACTTGCTTCTTTGCTTTATATCAACAAATCTCAACCACTACTTTAGTTCAGGCGTCAGGCCTCACACCAGGCCTCTGACACACAGGCTTATGTTGCAGTCCTTCTTCCCACTACGTAAGGAATTTAGAGAACATTGTTGTGGTCCTCTTGAGCCAGCCAATACTTCAGTGAGTTTTCAATGATTGTGCTACCACAGAAGAAGCGACGTTCTATTCCCCCACCCACCTTCACGCTGCAGAGCACAAATGCTGAGCTGTTGAGCTCAAGGGCTCTTAAGCAGAGTTCCCCTCCCTCAGTGTGTCACAATTAGAGAAGCACCTTTCATAAATAACTTTGAGTCGAAATGATCTAATGTCAGGGTGGGTGGATTTGTGAGGAGTAACTCTGTTTGTCATCATCATAATGTTCTCTGTGGCTGGAATTTTCTACAACACAAATACTCTCCCCTCAGCAATAATTAAAATCCCATTAGTTTGCAACCCCATTGCTGCATCCCGCCCCCCGAAGGATGTTTAATTTTGTTGACGGCGTGTTCTTTTAAAAAACAAATCCCCTGAAATTGGTAATGCATTCTCTGATGTTTGATGCTCACTTTCAGGTTCCATCTCACTCACAAACCCTGATGGATTTTGACATGGTCAAATAAAATTCAGATTAATTGGATTACACACTTCACTAGGGTACCTTTCCCTTTTGTACATGAAAGCATTCTCAGACGTTTTGTTTCAGGGCCGCAAAGACGGAAAGATGGCTACGGTCAAAAATGACTGTCTAGGAAATAACTGTGTGATTGAGCTCTTGTGTCTTGGACTCTGACCTGCGTTCAGTGTTCATGGCATGCTGTTCACTCCCTGGATTCCAGTGCAGAGATGCCCTGTCCCTGAGGGCATCTGCATTTTTGCCTATTTCCCAGAGTTCCACAGTACATGCCATGGAGCTATCAACGACCAATATCCATTGCTTCACCAAAGGTTAAAATCCTTCAGTATGTCTATGTAGAATCATAGGACTGGGAGAGACTTCTGGAGGTCATCGAGTCCAACCCCCTGCCCAAAGCAGGACCAACCCCAACTAAATCATCCCAACCAGGGCTTTGTTAAGCCAGGACTTAAAAACCTCTAGAGTCCCACCACCTTCCTAGTGAAATAGTGTTTCCTAATATCCAACCTAGACCTCCCCCACTGCAACTTGAGACCATTGCTCCTTGTTCTGCCATCCGTCACTGCTGAGAACAGCCTCTCCCAGCCTCTTTGGAACCTCCCTTCAGGAAGTTGAAGGCTGCTATCAAATCCCCCCTCACTCTTCTCTTCTGCAGACTAAATAAACCCAAATCCCTCAGTCGCTCCTCGTAAGTCATGTGCTCCAGCCCCCTAGTCATTTTGGTTGCCCCCCGCTGGACCCTCTCCAATGCGTTGACATCCTTTCTATAGTGGGAGGCCCAGAACTGGACGCAACACTCCAGATGTGCCTCGCCAGTGCCAAATAAAGGCAGGGCTGGATTAAGGGGGAGGGTAGCCAGGCAGCTGCCTGGGACACCAACCTATGGGGGGTGCTGATGGCAGCTGTAAGGGGCACTGGGGCTGAGGGCCGCATGTCGCCCCTTAGAGCTGCCATCAGGCGCTACGCACCTGATAGCAGCTGTAAGGTTCACAGTGTACCGGGAGGCGGGGTCGCGCGCCTGCTTCCCGGGGCACAGGAATGACTCAACCCGGCCCTGAATAAAGGGGAATAATCACTTCTCTGGATCTGCTGGCAATGCTCCTCCTAATGCAACCTAATATGCCATTAGCCTTCTTGGCTACAAGAGCACACTGTTGACTCATCTCCAGCTTCTCATCCACTGTAACCCCCAGGTCCTTTTCTGCTGAACTGCTACTTAGCCAGTCGGTCCCCTGTAAAAATTCTTGTGATTCTTCAATCCCAAGTGCAGGACTCTGCTCTCGTTCTTGTTGAACCTCATCAGATTTCTTTTGAAATAGGGCTCGCTTCCCGGATTTTGATATTTGTAGTGCTGGATTCTGCTCTCGTTTACGACATTGTGGAGTATACCACAAAACTGATGTTTGAGGGGTTGCTCTATATTTACATCAGTGTTCCTCTAAGCCGGAAAAGAATCCCATCTAATGATAGCCCAGCGCTGGGGGGGGGGGGGAGAACAGACTAATGGTGGTTTGAGATCACAGGCACGAGGAAATGGAAGTTTCTAGCTCATGGAGAGCAGTAGCTGGGGGAAATCGGGCTTTTCAGAAAGCTGTCTGTCATGGGTGACTGTTCCATGCAGTATGTGTTGACTGGACCATGGCAGAGGCTCATGGCCAGGGATTCTACAGCAAAGACGCAAGTGATATGTAATAAGATTATGTGTGCATGTGTGCGTCTGTGTATTGTTTCTTCAAGCAACGGTTAGCATTTCTATCCCATGTTCCCCAAAAGGCACTGCTGAAGTATCATGCCTTGTATTAGTGTAGTGTTATTACATGGTTTTGTTACATTTTTTTTTCAAGTTTTGAAGATGCCTGTGTGTCTTTTCTCAATTTGTCCTTCACTACCTCTGCTTCTCAATCCAGAGGAAGGTCAGACGACTAGAGAAATGCTGATTAGAGTCCAGGTCAACCACAAAGCCAGGAATAAATCCCTGAGACTACGGAATTGGTTTAAATCAGGACAGGGGTGCAAACAGCTTCCGCGTGTCCCTGGGCAAAGTGTGTGGGAGGGCTGGCTCTGCACCCCTTCAGGGGGCAGGGCCTTGGAAGGAAGGGGTGGAGCTGTGGAAGCCAGTCTTCTACACCATCTGGACTGTGGCTCTGGACACACACCTCCCCTGCGCTCAGAGCCATGCAGAGCATGCCAGGTGGGGCTTCAGCAGTGATTTAAAGGGCTCAGGGCTCCAGCTGCATGTTTGAGTCAAGATCAAGTGGCTAAAGCAGTGGATTGTGAATCTTGACAATGGACAGGTCGCTTGCTTTCGGTGTCTTCGTTTCACCCTCTGCAATTTACATATTGTCCGCAGCGCTTTTGTATCTTCCAATGAACAGGGCTTCCCTAATGGACCCTAATAACCTATGGATCCGTAGGGAGTGTGTAGGGCGGATATGCTGGGCCCAGAGACTTGATGAGCAGATGTTTTACAGGTGACATGGCTAGGCTCTCAAAACCAAACTGTTATTCTACACTGTAGTGCAGAAAAGCAGCTACCCAGTTCCCTGCTTTGGCAACTGGCCGTGGGATTCAGTAGCTAAACAAGCACCCTGATTTCGACAGAGGGGAAAATTCTTTGGGGGCAATTAGAAGGAACAGGGTGGAGGGATGAAAAAGAGCATGAAAGAGACTAAATACAAATGCACTTGATCCAGAGCCAGTATGTGCACATGATGGCCTGAAGTATAGAGCCTCGAGTACCCAGAAGAACGAGATCGCTGCTTTGGCTCCCCCAGTAGAAAATCACAGCTTTTTATTTTGCAATGAGCTTCTGGGTGAGTTCTCCTCTGAACAGCCAGGGAAATTGCTCTAATGGTCAGAATTCCACATAATTAAACACTCTCGCTCCTTGGCCGACAGCTAGCTCGAGCTTCCAGCCTGCCCAGTGTGAAATCCTGTCTGACGGGACGCTGCTGCTGATAATTTTTTCAATCCTTCATTTCTCTGCTCTTTACCACAGATGGAGAACCCCAGCTGGCTTCCACCATCATAGACACGATCATGGCTGGCTTGCCAGGGCCACGTGGCGCACCAGGGCCTGTTGGGCCACCAGGTAACAGATTCCATTGAACTGGACCGCATTAATGAGGAGAAACCAAACCAAAGAGTCTTCTCAGGTTATGTGAGCGGAAGGTCTAGTGGCATTTTTTTACTCTATTGGAGGCAGCAGCATGGAGGGGTGGAGGAGGCTGCTGCGAAGCAGCCTCTGTCCGTGGTGGGTGGATCTGAGCTCCCCGCGGACAGAAGCTGCAGTGGCATCCCACGGAGCAGCCTCTGTCCGCGGTGGGCCTGGGCCCGCCACAGACAGAGGTTGTTCTGCAGCAGCACCCTCTGTCAACGGGGCTCTGTATCAGTGGCAGCAGCATGGGGCGGCAGGCAACTGGTTTGAGCGGGGAGCTGGGTTTTAAACTGGGTCCCCTTTCAGACCAGCTCCATCTGTCACCTCGTGCTGCTGCTTCTGATACAGAGGCAGCAGCACAAGGTGGCAGGGGACTCCCCAGGAGTGGGAACCAGTGAATAGTCATGTAACCGCTAACATTTCGTGTGGTTATGTAACTATTCAGTTACACGATAGCTAACATCCCTAGTATGCAGGGGATGTTTTTACATCAGAATGTGCATCTATCTTTTGTTTGATGCCAGTGCTTGAGCCATGTCCTGACGATCCAGTGAGATATGTGCAGAGAGAGCGAGAGACATGCTAATCTGGAGTAATGAAAGGAAATGTGTGTGATTGAAATTGAGGTTCAATTTCTCGGTTTCTCTAAAACTGTCTCAGATTATGATTTTATCACCAGGACCTCCAGGCACTTCAGGACCCAAGGGGCCCCCAGGACCTACTGGAGTTCCTGGATCACAAGTAAGCAATTTTATCCCGTGCCTTGGTGGGGGCGAGAGGGAGATGGGGAACAGAGCAGAGCATGGAATTAATCTCTGTAGAAAGGAGATGAAATATTTAATTATTAGAGCTCAGTGGAAATCGGAATTTGCATCTAAGAAGACATTCCAATATTTCAACACTTTGTATCTCAGATCAAGACTAAAAAGCTGAAATAGTGAAATTTTTCTCAGAACAAAATGTTCTGAAGAACTTGATTTGGAAATGGCAAAGCACTTGATTTGGAAATCTTGCCGCTTGTCTACACTGGCCGCGAGTATTTGCGCAAGAACACTGACTTTGTAATGTACAAAATCAGTGGTTCTTGCGCAAATACTCTGACGCTCCTGCTCAGGGATAAGCCCTCTTGCGCAACTATTCTTGCACAAGAGGGCCAGTGTAGACAGCAACATTAATTTCTTGTGCAAGAGAGCGTCTACACTGGCACAGATGCTTTTGCGCAAAAGCAAATCTTTTGTGCAAAGGCACATGCCAGTATAGACACTCTCTTGCACAAATACTTTTAACGGAAAAACTTTTCCGTTAAAAGGATTTGCACAAAATCATGCCAGTCTAGACGCAGCCTTCATGTTGAGTTAGTTCAGTAATGACCGGTATCTCCCTAGGGAGCTGCATTGCCTCCTGGGAGTTTTAGTTTGGGTCCTTGATGGCCCTTTTCTCCCAGGCAACCTGGGCTGAGCAGGATGGATGGACTAAATCTCCTATGAGGCACCATGCAGCCCTGTCAGAGGGGTGAGAGAGTTGTAGCATGGGATATGTAGTCTGGCAAAGGATGCTGGTCCATATGAGAAAATGAGCCCATGAGATATCTGAACTGTTACTCCTATGAGACTATGCAGCACCGTAGGGAAACACAGTTCAACAAACCAAAGTATTTTGATGTAGCTTGATCCAAGTTGCTTTTTTCAGAAAGGAAAAATCAAAAAAAGCTTTTGAAAAAATCAAAACTTTCCTGAAACTTCATTTTCAGTCAAAACACATTTGGATGGAAAAATTCCTGACCAGCTCTATGAATTATGTGTGGCTTAAAAAAGATTTTTGTAATTTGATAGATCCTATACTTTGACAAGGTCCCTCATAAAAGGCTATTATGGAAAGCTACAGAAAGAGGGACTAAGTCTGTTCACAGATTGAAATTTGGCTAAGGAAAAAGAAAAGAAGTGATAATAAATGGTTGACTCGTCAAAGTAGTAATTAGTTAATAGTTGGCAATCCCAGGAGACCTATATTTGGAACAATGTTTCAGAATGTGTAGTCCAGCTGCCAATCCAAACTCTTTCAAGGACATAAAACAGAGATAAAATGATGATAGGAAATTAAGGAAATTGAGGGAGACACAGGGAGGGTCAAGTGATTTGTTGAGGGACATAACCTTGATTCTGATAAGGAGGAGCTTGGGATAGCAGGGAATTGGAGAAATGTGATTTTACTGTGTATTAATTAATCACTCGCTAGAAAAATGGACAACAAGTGTGTGAACTTGGCCAATGATTCAGAATTGTTTCAATTATCAAATGCTGTGGAGAATTGTGGGAAATTTCAGATGAATATAAACACACTGGGAGATTTGACCGCAAAACGACAGATGCCATTTAACATGATAAAATGTAAAGTAACGCACCAGGGCAAAACAAACAGAAGCATCTCTTAAACTCTGGCCTCTGAACTTGCAGGATGTACATGTGGGGGGAGGGAAGGAGCTTTAGTCATGGTAGGTAGCTTGTAAAGATGGACCCAAACGTCAGCTGGTGGAAACTTGTCTGACTATTGTTTTCAGTGGAGCTATGCTGAGTTCCCTCAGTCTAAAGTCTGCCCCATCTTTACTAATGACAGAAGTGCAGCCTGTGCTTCCTTTTTTTAAAAAGTGCTAATGTAATGTTACAAATTTAACTGCTCAAAGTCAAACATACAGAAGTTAGGGATGCCCATCTGCACTTATGAATGATGAGAGTCTTAGATTACAGGATCTCATGATTTCTTGTTTCCCCTCACCTCGTGGAGCTTCTGCACTATACATAAGAGTCTCTCAACTCCTATGGAGTGATTTGGCTGCACATGAGGGAGACCTCTTCCTATAGTTGACGTTAGCTCCACAGAAGCATTAAGGTTTCAATGCAGTCAGGTAAGAGTAAAAGGAGTGTTACAGTCTATGCAGAGCAGGGGTGGGCAAGAGCCTGTCAGCAGGCCGAATCTGGCCCACCTCGCTCTTTTATATGGCCTGCGCAGCGGTTCGTAGCCCCAGCCCTAATGCGCTGCCTGGGAGCTGGGGACGCGTGAGCCCTTTCAACAGCTCCTATTTAAAAGGCTCGCACCTTCCCCCGGCTGCTGTTGCCTGAGAGCTGCGGGGAAGGCGCGAGACCTTTAAATAAAAGCAGTTGAAAGGGCTTGCGTGTCCCAGCTCCCAGGCAACACGCTAGCAGGTGTTGAAAAGGCTCGTAGCTCCTGCCGCCTCCCCGCTAATGTGTTGCCTGTGAGTCGCCGGGGAGGCGTTGAACCCTTTCAACTCCTACTATTTAAGGGCCCCGCCCCTTCCGCCCAAAGCCCCGTCCCTTCGGGGAAGGCCTGCAACCACTTCAAAGATTTTTAAGTGGCCCCCCCTTTAAAAATTATTGCCCATCCTTGATATAGAGTATGCTGCAACGAGGCACATGGAAAAATTGGCACATTAGCACAAAACTTTTTAACAAACATTGTCCAGAGAACTCTGCCCCTTGCCCATCTTTCCATGTGCCTCAAACGCAGCACTCCGCTCACCTCCTTTTTCTTAATCTGCTGTCTCTTCTCCCAAGTCTTTCTCCTGCAAGGCCTCCAAACTTCGAAAGAAAACGGGGGAACTGGATGGTTGATAGGCATCATAGATTTATATTGGTTCATATATATCAAAGTGTTTCCTACTAAGTGCCAAATGACTGTGTTTAACTATGAACCTCCTTAAGCCAGGTGACTCATGTGGGTCTACCCTATGACCAAGATTTTCATAAGTAATGGGAGTATGCCTCTCTTCTCTGTTGCAATCCTAAGGCGGCTTGCTTTTTCAGAAAGCACTGAACACTTCCAACCACAAAAAAATGGGTCCCTCCCTTTTGAAGCCTCTCAATTTGTGCATCTAAAATCAATCTGACAGTCTCGGGGTATCTGCTTAGACAGGATGGGCTCGTCTACACTGGCCCCTTTTCCGAAAGGGGCATGGTAATTTCAGAGATCGTAATAGGGAAATCCGCGGGGGATTTAAATATCCCCCGCGGCATTTAAATAAAAATGTCCGCCGCTTTTTTCCGGCTTTTAGAAAAGCCGGAAAAGAGCGTCTACACTGGCCCCGATCCTCCGGAAAAAGCGCCCTTTTCCAGAGGATCTTATTCCTACTTTGAAGTATTTCCCTATTACGATCTCTGAAATTAACATGCCCCCTTCGAAAAAGGGGCCAGTGTAGACATAGCCGATAAGTTCAAGCGATACTTCCATTTGATTCTGGAGGCTACCGTAAAAATGTGTGCTGAAACTTTGTGGCGCCCCCATCCAAGTTTGGCAATGCCCATCCTGAAGATATAAAGCATCCCAGCAGGATGGCCAGAATGAGCAAACATACCTAAGATTTAATTGGATTGTGCATTTGAAACCATTCTGATGAGATTCACTCACCCAAATAAACAATTTTCAAATTAAGCCCAATGTGTGCCTAGAATTTTGCTCCCTGGGTTGAATAAATCTATAAAACGGTCACCAGTGAAGAAGAATGACTTTATCTCAAGACTTCTGGTAATTAAGCTCCTTTGTAGATATTGATCTTGACTGTGATATTAACCACCAGACAAAGCCATGATAATGTTGCAAGTCAGATAGGAAGAAAAGAATGTTTTTGTTTATACTCTGACTTTTCCAATCCTTCAACTCTCCATAACTATTTGTGAGGTGTTAGTAACCACCCAAGATGTTCATTGGAGATTTCATTTACTGTTCCATTCATAAAATACATAATGGAAACATATCTTTTTATCCTGCATCTGCCTTTTAGGGTGTTCCGGGCTCTCCTGGACAGCCTGGGCCTAAAGGTTCCAAAGGAGATCGAGGTGAAAGAGTAAGTTAAAACTTCATCATATGTAAAGATTCACAACCATTTTTGCTCCAATCCTCAGAAGATGGAAATCAACATAGGCCTTCTCTGATTGATTAGGTGCACATAAATTCAGACTATGATGGAAGAATCAATAAGTGAGAACATTTCACAAGCAGAGGGGGACATGTTACTTTCACAGGGTATAAACTTACCTCTGAATATTTCAGGATAGTGAACACTTGACACCTAATGCCTATGGGGAGCAGGTTTTACTATAAATGCTCAAGTACTTAGCATTTCAAATGGGTTAGCTCAGTTACGTTGCTGCTATTGGGAAAGGAAAGGCAAAACATACTAGATAGAATAAGAACTATTCTGAATCAGCCATTTTCAGGGCCATATGATGTTCTTAAAATATTGGCTTCTACTTTCATTTGTGTCCTGTTATCACTATCTTGACTAAATGCCCAAAATACAGCAAGATGAGCTTGCTGAGCTTTGTTTCCAAGTTGGGCAACATTAGGGGTGCGTCTATACTGAACCGTTATTCCAGAATAATGGACGTTATTCTGGAAAAACAATACTAGTGTCCACACAGCATTGCGTTATTTCGTAAGAAAATTGAAATAACGGAGGGCTTTTTTTGATGTTGGTAAACCTCATTCCATGAGGAATAATGCATCTTCTGAAAAAGCTCTTTTGGAAGAGGGGGTATGTGGACATTCCACTGCTGCTATGTCGAAATTGCTCCTCACCAGGGCCATTCTAAAGTTATTCCTCCTCAGTGCCTCCGGGGGCTCTAAATCGAGAGAGCTCATCCACGTTAGGGGAGCCTGCCTTGGACAAATTTTGAGGCTTCCTTGTAGTGTGAATGCTCTATTTCAAAATAAGCTATTCCAGAAGATATTTTCCAGAATAGCTTTTTCCTACATAAGCTTGCAGTGTAAACATACCCTAAAAACAAAACAACCCCAAAAAAACAAAACAGAAAACCACACCCCCATGCGAGAGCCTTTTCTCTCCAGGTTACCAACCCAGTATCCAGACAAGCTAAAGATGTGCACAGCAGTTTTTGAACTTTGGGATACTTCTGCTACCTCCCAAACTCCTTAGGATTGCCCATCCCTTATGGTGGGTGGCTTGTGGAGAACCTTTTAGGAGGGGCTGTAGAATGAAATCTTTTAAGAACTTAGCACTGGGAGAAGTGGATTGATAAGAGAGACTCCTTGTGAGGAGATTATGTCCAGAAAGTAAAGCTACAGAATGAAAAAGTTACCGTTGATGGAGTATGCTGCATGTTCTGGAAAGAAAAAACTGCTGTAAAAAAGCTTTAGTGCTAAATGTCCAGGGTGGTCTGTATCCAGAGTGGGAGCGAGGGGTCTGCCGTTTTAATGTATTTCTTTCTTTAAAGAGGAATTACCTGCTTATAGATTTATAGGTAAAGCTCACTATCTGCAAATCAGGTGAACAAATCATGTGCATTTGCCTGTTTCTCTCTGATCTTCCCCCTGCTATTTGCTTTTTTTCAGTCTGAAGGGCAGACTGATGGCTGGGAGGGCTTTGAAAGGCAAATGTCAAATGCAGTTTGATTAGTTTCAGATGAGCTTGGAGTCTCTCCAGGCCTATGAGCATATCAAGTGACAGGCTTAACCTGCATCTCTCTAGATTTTACATTAGAGCAACAACAACTCAAACTAGATGGTCCAATACACACACTGAAAGCAAAGAAGACATAGAGGTTGCTGATAAATGTAGTGGTCTTTCAGATCTAGTTACCAAGTACTGCTTATCGCTACTAGATGTTTATTTCAGTTTGCAGTGAGGGCCACTTTTATTTATGAAGAGAACGCTATATATATCAAGCTATCAAGCTTTCTGCCAATAGAATTGATTAGAGCCCTTTTGTAACTATGCATTTGACTATTTTATAGGTGGCTTAATTCCATCTTTTACACCATTGCTAAATATTACGGATTAGAGCTGGCTGAAAGTTTTTCAGTGGGACAGTTTGGAAAAATATTTCACATGAAGATGTCTATTCTGAAGAAGTTTGGATGGGAAAAATCTAAAATATTCTTTTAGACTTGTTTTATTTTAAAAATATTGATGTTTTGTTTCATTTCATTTAGTCTATATGTAATAACTATAACAGAGTTTCAACATTATAAAAACAATTTTTTTCTAATTAGAAATTGTTTAATTTCCATTCCGTGAGTTATTTTGAAACTAGATTTACCCGGCATTGCTTGGATCCTTAATTCAAATACGTTTTGTTTTTCTGCATCTAAATCATTGTTCTGGGGTGGGGCTGGGGATAAGAGGTTCAGTGTGCAGGCTGCCCCGGGGAGAGAGGATAACCCCAGCCTGCTCTCACTGCAGCAGCTTGGGTCCACGTGAGATGTGCCTGTCCTTGGCCACTGTAGCTCCAGTGGGCGTAGTCCGAGGAGGGATGGATGTCCCCCGATTGAGGGATCGACAGACACATAAACAGAAAAAACTCTAAAATGTATAATAGATAGCTGTCCTTTTCTCCACCCTCACCCCATGCTGGCCTAAGTGGGTTATAGCTGTTCCAGGCCCCATCTATGGCTCATTGCTGTGCCCAGGGTGATTCTGAAGTATAACTCCCTCCTTCCAGCCCCCTACCTTTCCATTTTATGAGAAACAATCAAATTCCAGGCACATCCTATTATCCTGGCACAACCAAACCCTGACCTTGCTTTAAGTTTTGATAAGAGGAAGCTGCCTACCAAATGTGGTGGTCCTACCTCTTACCGCTTAAGAGGAGTTCTTAATCAAATGGACTCACAGGTGGATGGACAGACAGACTCACATTTCTAAAATATATAGTACGATTTCTACTTTTTGTTTTGTTTTGGAACAAAAATTTTTCAAAAGTTTGGAATTTCCTTTGGAATGGGAACGCCATTTTCCAGCCAACTCTGTTTATAGATTAATTGCAAAGCCAATGGCTAAAGTTTTTATTGGCAGAAGAAAATAACATTTCTATAAAGGATGGTATGTATGACATGGTATTGAGAAATTCAATAGGACAGTACTATTTTCTCTTTCACACAGCACAAGAACTAAGGGTTACTCAGTGAAATTAATCGGTAGCAGGTTTAAAACAAATCAAAGGAACTACTGCTTCACACCGTGCCCAAACTGAGCAACGTATTGCCATAGAATGTTGTGAAGGCCAGATGTACAGTTGGGTTCAAAAGAGAATGAGATAAGTTCATGCAGGATTGGGCTATCAGTGTTGCTAAATCTCCAACTTCCTGGACAGCTGGGGCTGGATCACTCAAAATTGCCCTGTTCTGTTTATTCCCTCTGAAACATCTGGCATGGGTGAGTCAGAAGACAGGATACCGGGCTGCATGGACAGTTGGTCTGAACCGGTATGGCCATTCTTCTGTTCTTACCCTTTTTACCAAAATCAGACAATGAATAGATAGTTCTGACATTGTGCAGGCTTTTTTACACAGATCATATCTGCTGGCTGAGAGTCATGAAATCCCTGGCCACCCACACTGCTTTGTCATCAGTCTGGGGTGGGGAAGTGGATGCTGCATCTTTGAATTAGTGTTGGCATTGCATGGACAAAGTGCAAAGACTGTACAAGCTGATGAAGGCCAGAGCAGAGTAACAGGGAAGGGCCCTCTTTACTGTCAGGATTTGAGGATAAACTAGCTGTTTTGATTCATAGATTCCACAGCCAGGAAGGAACCATTGGGATAATCTAATCTGACCTGCTGTACAACACAGGTCATACAACTTCCCCAACACAGTTCCTAGAGCAGAACTTATAGAAGAATCATCTAATCTCAATTTAAAAATTGTCAGTGATGGAGAATTCACCAGGACCCTTGGGAAATTGTCCAGAAATGTGCCACCTACTGCCTTAGCACAATTAATTTCTGTTTTCTTATACTTTCATATGGGCCTGATTCACCCAAAGCAGGGTCTAAGCATCTTGTATTGTTTTGGTGGGGAAAGCTTTTAATCAGTATAGAGTTCTGACAGTTGGGCTTACCAAGTATTGCACAGGTCTCTCTAATGCGGGTTTTTTGATATAGTAGCTTGTTCCAAAGTGGTCCTTCATATAAAAATAAGCAGTTAGGGAAAAATGTGCATATGAAAAAGTAGCTCTACTTTTTGCCAAATGCAAAATCCTACATCCAGCTGGGACGTTCATAGCAGCAAAAAAGGATGTGAAAGGTGTGGAACGAATTGGTCAGAAAATGGAAATTATATTCTGTATAATGAAATCAAAATTTTTCAATTTTTCTTGAAACTTCAATTTTTTGACAAATTGTTTAGCCAAATTTAAATTAAAAAAAATCACAGTGTGGGTACTTCCTTCTTGCCCCCTTTTTCCAGAGGGAAAAAGAGGGTGGAGGTAGGAACGGAAACAAAAAAGAATGTTCATTTTGATTCGACTAAAACCAAATATTTTTCAAATGGATTTGAAACTGTTGTTTTGAATTGTTTCACCCAAAACAGCCCCAGAAAACCTAGAATATGAAAATTGTGAAAAAAAAAATTGAGAAAAAGCCATGTTTCATCAGAGAAGTGTAGTTGTTCTAGTTGTGGAGAAGAGGATGAGCATGTTTGCAGACAGAGACTACACTTGCACATGAGGGAGTCTTAAGGGGAAATCATAATGAGATATTTTAGAGCCTTTGGTTCACTGGCTAAGGCCAATCCGGCTTAGCCTATCCATTATACCATATGGGAGAATGTATTTCTGGATGAAACTCCAGGGCCAAATTTCTCCCTGCTTTAACAAAGCTGACTTCTCTGAAGTAAAGAGGATGCAAACCCATATTATAAAAAAAACCAACAAATGGTCTGGTAGCACTTCATACACTAACTAAACATGTAGAAGGGATCATGAGCTTTCATGGGCACAGCCCACTTCTTCAGATCTCCGGTCATCTAAAGAAGTGGGCTACCCACGAAAGCTCATGTTACCATCTACATGTTTTGTTAGTCTATAAAGTGCTACCAGACCATTTGTTGGTTTTTTCTGTATCAGACTAACTCGGCTACCCCCTGAACCATATTATAAAGATAGTCCTGGGGTGCCAGAGGGTGCATCTACACTTCCCCTCAGCTCAAAATAAGCTACACAATTTGAGCTATGCAAATTACATCACTTATTTCGAGTTAATTTCAAAATAGCTTATTTCATAATTTGTCACTGTCTGCTCAGCACCAAATTTCAAAATAAACCGCTATTCCAAAACCCTTAATCCTCATGCAACAAGGTTTACAGGGATGTCAGAATAATGGGCTTGTTCAAAAGACGCAGAATAGCTGTTTTGGGATACCGGAAGTGTCCCAAAATAACGCCGCAGTGTAGACATGCCCCAAATGTTGGGAGGCTTCAGAACTGGTGTTTGAGACCTAATACCCAGCAAGCTGCCTGCTTGAATGCTGAAAGAGATCATGCTGAGAGAAAGGAACTTCCAGAGTGTCTCCTGAGTTTGTTTCTTAGTTAAGCCGTTTTAATTCCACTGGTAACATGACATTTTGTTTTCATCCAATGGAAACAAAAATGACACTTGCTTTATTTCCAACAGGGGCAAGCAGGCCTGTCTGGAGAGAGGGGCAATAAGGGACTGCCTGTAAGTGTTGTACACGTGTGGGTGACAAAGAATCTGTGTGTGTGTGTGTATGTGATAGAGATGTCCAGCCCCTTAAATATCACTTGTGTGGACTATGAAGTTCTCTCCGGATAGTCATACAACATCCAGCTCAGGAGACAGCAGCTCCGAGAGCTGCAAATGAAACACTACATTTTTAGTGCTATACTTTATAGACAAGTGGACAAAGCAGTAGAAAATACAGTACACCTTCCTTGGGGCTGAGGAAGCAGACTGCATGATCTCATAGCTCTTCTCCACCCTTGGGCTGGATGTAGGAGTGGGGCTAGTCGTCTAGAAGTTCCACAAATTTTAATTTTTCCTTCGGGAGCGAGAAATTGGTAGCAAAAGACAAGTGCAGAAGATGTATCTGATGTACCACTTCAGCATTGCCCAGATGAGGCCATATGCTCTAGCCGCGTCTATACTCGTTATCTGTACAGGCAGTCCCCGGGTTACGTACAAGATAGGGACTGTAGGTTTGTTCTTAAGTGGAATCTGTATGTAAGTTGGAACTGGCGTCCAGATTCAGCCGCTGCTGAAACTGACCGCCAGTTCTGACTTACATACAGATTCAACTTAAGAACCCCAAGCTTCCCCAAGTCAGCTGCTGCTGAAACTGATCAGCGCTGATTCCAGGAAGCCTGGGGCAGAGCAACTCTGCCTCGGGCTTCCTGTGGTTTGTTCTTAAGTGGAATCTGTATGTAAGTTGGAACTGGCGTCCAGATTCAGCCGCTGCTGAAACTGACCGCCAGTTCTGACTTACATACAGATTCAACTTAAGAACCCCAAGCTTCCCCAAGTCAGCTGCTGCTGAAACTGATCAGCGCTGATTCCAGGAAGCCTGGGGCAGAGCAACTCTGCCTCGGGCTTCCTGTAGTCAGCGCTGGTCAGTTTCAGCAGCGGCTGAATCAGGACGCCTG